CCTGATGAAAAAAAAAAAAAAAAAAAAAGAAAACTTTTTGCAATCTCCGGGAATGAATCGTTTCACGCCGTTCCGGGAATTACGATCAAACCAGATTCAAACCACACGAGCGTATCGTTCGCCGTACGGATTACATCCCGCGAATCGTTTGTTACATCTGCCTCTCCTATATAATTTCTCTTCGATATCGTTAAAAGAGAATCGTGTCGGGAGAAAAAAAATAAAATGAAACGATTGAAAATAAGAAAACGATACGCTGTGACAACGATCAAAAAATACCGAGAAAGAATAAAGAGACACGATGTCAAAAAGTATGATGCAATATTTTCCTTGCAAGCATGAAGGGCGACAATTTGAACGATTATTATACTAGAAGGGGCAACGAAATCTTAGAAACGTACTGGTATTTAAAAAATAGCTCAGAGGTTCAATTTCCTATTACGAAAGATTGATCGAAGAAAGTGAAAATACATCATGTATGAAACCTACATCGAGATTCGAAGATTAATCCGCAGACGGAACTCCGCGGGCCGCAGCGCGAGGCCGGTAATCGTGAAATTCGATTACGAGGAAAGAATGGACGTAAGAAGCAGAGAAACGGGGGAACAAAGAGAGCAATTTGGACGCGTCGACCGACGGCCATTAATCGAATTTAATTAGCTAATTAAGGGGAGCACCGTCGAAAAGGCCGAGCGGCGAGACGCTCGGCGCGAGAAGGCGGAGGAGGGAGGGAGGAGGGGGGAGGAGAGAGAGAGAGAGAGAGTAGCTCGTTAACGGATGCACGTATCGCGCTCGAGGCGCCCGAACAAAAACTATTAGCGTCCGCTCGAGCGATCAGCCTGAAAGGTTGGCTCGAGTGTCGCCTCGCGAGGCAAGTGTGTGTATATATACGCGGGTACACAGGTAGCGGAAGCTTGATGCGCCCCCTCCTCGGTTACAATAACGCCTCTCCAATTAGCCACGATATTTACATTATGACGCGATCGGTTGAAAGCTCGGCTCGATCGAGCCTTGGCCCTGGCGTGTCGCAGGGACCCACCCTCGAGCCACCGCCGTCCTCTTTTTTGCCCAAGTGCTTCGCGGCCCTTGTCAGACACCCCGTTCAACGGAATTCTTAACAGGATCCCTTCATCCGCGACACTCGTCATCCATTCTCGTTGTTTCTGTTTCTTTTTTCTTTTTCTTTCCCGCCGTTTCCCTCTTTCGCTCCGTCTGATTTCGATTGCCACTTTTAAAACGCGCGATGTGACGCGCCCCCTATCCGGGCCAGGTGAGAGAGAATCGGCGGAAGAAGAGCGTCACGTGGTCTGATCGACGAACCTCGTTAACTCTTTCCAGACTCTTCGCCTTTCGGTCGTTTTACTCGTTTTGTCGATCCTCGCGTTTATTATTAAGAAATTTTGTTGCTTTTGCGATCGAAAAAGTTCGAACGATGGAATTTCTTTTTTTTTCTTTTTTTTTTTGAGAAATGTCGGGTGATAATTGTATTAAATATATTTACTTAATGTGTATTATTCGATCAAATATTCTAATTTTTTTCATTATCCACGTTTCGTTATTATTTTCGAAATAACGTCTCGATCAATTTAAAAATTGCTGGGAGATATGTTCGTAGCAACTTCTTAGCATACGAAAAATACGAAAGGTTCTAAATTTAACTCCACAGTTAAAATATTTTCACGATTTTTCACCTTCCATTGTCGATTCCAGACGAACGTTTTTAGAAGGCAACGATCGATTCGTATTCAGTTAAACTACTAAGCGAATTCACTCACCAACGTGTTCAAATCCTTATTGAGATCCTCCAAGTTGGGCCCGGCGCAGTTACGATTCTGCGCACGCGCGCTCGATCCACTGACAGACGCGAGGATCCTCTTACGGTGCGCTGGCTTCTGGATCTCGAGCACGGTCGCCAATTCGACCTCCCACACGCACCTCACGCGCTCCATATCCGTGTACAAATGCTTTTTGAAGGTTTCCGCGTAATTTTCCAAATGAATGCTCTTCAACCACTCGTCCACCGATTGAACGTTGGATCGTTTGTCCAAGCGTTTGTTCAACAAACCGACCGCGTCCATTATCACGGCCCGCTCTTGATCGCTCGTGATCTCCATATCTTTCAGATCGGCCTCGTCCAAAACCCCGTTCTGGAAATAAGAAACAGTGTTCCAAACTTTTCTTCTGTGCACGCGTTTCTCTTGCAATTTCGTTCGAATGAATTTCTTAGCTAACTTAAAATGATTTTACACACAAATTAACGCGTAAAACTTTTATATTTTAATATTTTATCCATCTTTACATATAAAGAGAGATAATTTATCGAATATTGAAAATTTATATTGTCGTGTGATATTTTAATAATAAAGTAATTAGTAAAAAGCATCCTCGGTTTGTCAGGGGAAATATCACAATGAAACATCGTTACAAACCTTATAATCCCAATAACGTGCTCTCATTTATTGCCTGTTGTTCTTATTTTTCATCTTCTTACACTATATCTCTATTTTTATCACTATTTTCCTTCTCTCTATTATCAATTTCTTAACGAATAGAAATCATTTCGTTATTTAATAACGAAAAATCAAGCTCACTTGAACTGTAATTTCATTACAGTTCCACGCTTGCAAAACTCAGAAACTTTGAAAATAACATTTCCATCGCCACGAATGTCAAACTCGGGAAAAACTAACGTCGAAAATAAGTCGATCCGAGATCTTATTTCAGATAAAAATCCAACCGTTTGATATATTATTCTACAACTTTATAAGCTTATATAGAACTTAAAGAACTTAGGAATCTATTAACGAAGCGATATTTAAAAAAAAGATCAAACATAAATAAATATTCGAGAGTCAAAAGATTAGTATAGTTCTCTTAAAAAAACTTTCAAAGGATAACGAGGATGTGATGCTCACTATGAAATCCAGGTCGTCGAATCCATAGTTGATGAAGAGGGTCTCGTAATCGGCCAGTCCCAGCGTCGACAGCCATTGACCAACGGAAGTGGAGACAATAGGGCTGCTACTAGTGTCCGAGCTCAAGCCTGTGCATAAAATTATTTTACTCGAATATAGAAATAAACACGATTCTTCTTAAAAATCTCTATACTTTAACACCAGAGAGAAACTAATCGAACTCGAACATTTCGAAAAAATAAAAACTCGAGAGAAACTTCTTTCAGAGGCGTTATATCGCGTATATACCTAGTCTCGTCTGGAACTCCTTCTCCAGCTCGGTGACGAAGACCGACTCCCTGACGAGGCCCGTGCCGATCGACGCCATGATCTCTGAAATCTTGGCCCACTCCTCCTGCTCGTCGAAAGGGCTCATTATGCTGAGGGACTTCTCGTCCCTTTCACGATCGCGATCCGACAATCTGAACGACACCTCTCCGTCTTCGAGACGTTCTCCGCCTCCGCCCCCATCACCTCCGGTTCCCATTCCGCATGCGGATGGCCCGTAAACGTTACGCAGCCGGCGCAGGGTGCGCGGTCGCTCAGCCGTCACAGACCCTTTCAACAAACCTGTCGAGATTACGATATATATGGATGAAATATTCGGTTGCGACGACGAAATATCGGCGAACGTGTTGCCCTTTACGATTAAGAATTTTCGTTTTAACGTGTATATAAGAAACATTAGAAGGAAGTAGTGGAAATAATATGTGTCTCTCTTTTTTAAACGTACGTGTTGGTTGTTTGTCGGTTTGAAACAGCTGTGAGAGGTAATTTTAAAATGGATACAACGCATTATATGAATTTATGATTCGTTTTATTTTTCGATACTCTACGCCAATTTACGTGGCGCATATTTCCTTTGTCTTTTTTTTTTTTTTATTTATTACGATTCTGTATTTTGTTATCCCCTCCGATTCTGAGTAATTATATTAATCCATAATTATTTTTCGATTCCAAAAAGATCGTCGAATATATCGAATATAGTGTTGCTTTATTATAGGGAATTAGGATATTGATATCGCTTAATATGCTTCAATTTGTCGAGAAACAACGAGTTCAAACCCTTTCCCGAATTCAAAACCGATGTTGCATTCTCGAAACTTAGCTGACCAGCAGTTCCCAACGGTTTTAAACGCAAACACGTCGAGGCTGTCTGGGATCAGCCAACAGATATCCATAATGGATAGCGTACGAACGAATTCACGGATACGTTGAATATTCATTATTGATTCGTCATTGTTCGATGCCTCCGCGAGATTAGCTCGCGGAAGATAATCAAGACCGGTTGTCGACACGGATGTCTTCAAGCAATTCGTAAAATTTTACTTTCTCG